GACCGCGCTAGGAATAAGGAAAAGGGAAGTTGTAATTAAGTTCATTACTGAACAAATACGGGGGCAGCGGGAAATTGCGTAAATGTAGAATGTAGACGTTCGAATAGTAGACGTTGATTGATAGTGTATTATGCTCCTTAAAAGGCAAAAGTCGGGCTCAATAAGGGGGTATTATGGCGATTGAAACTGAGTATAGAGATGCGAAGTAGAACGACAGTGGAGAAAAAACTGAGAAAAACCGTCGACAAGGCCGTTAACAAAACCCTCTTTCCCACTAGCAGTGAAGGAGGCTGTCTTGGGGAAGAGGCACGTACAACAAGTTTTTCTGAGATGTCAGTCGTTCTATCGGTTGATACGGCAATCAACCTAGCTGATTTCACACGTTATGCCAGCCATGCACCACATCCCAAGGTGGGCGGTCGTAGCGGGGCCAGGCGGCGATAGCGCATAGTACATGCCCTGGGGCCTTATTACTGCGCCGTTTCGGGTTTTGAGTGGGAACATCTGTACGGTGCGTAACCAAGTACAGAGCATGACCGAAAGGGTTGGTTTGGTCAACTAATCCCGACCTTTGCCTTTAAACAAGATAGTTCCCCGCGATAACGCATCGAGCAAGTGGAGGCATATGCGCTTAAAGGAATCTTGCGCGGAAAATTCTTGCACTCTTTCCTAACATGAATATGTCAGTTGTGATCACTGGAAATAGCACACAAAGTTTCACGCATGAAGATTCGGTTTCTGAAGAGAAACAAACGTACAAAAACTACACGTTATGGACCATCGAAGGACCAGGAGGCAGAGCCAGGCGAGGCATGGAAAGAAGAAGACGGCGTTTGGCCGGCTACGTACCAGGCGACGCAATGAGAGAATCGGGTTAAAGCGCGCGATTTCGGAGAGTGGAGACAAATCGATCGATGGAATAGGATGGAGTAGAAGTGTAAGATGTGAATGCAACGAAGCAGAAGGCCAGAAAGAGCTTCTAGTGAATGCACTCCAAGAACCAAGTTTGAGCATCCCCGTCGCCAGCATTCGTGAAAGACGTCCGTGGGCAATTCGAACGCGTAGCAGCCTTTTCGAGTTTTCGAATTTCTAATCAAAACGAGCAATACTTCAGTTCTTTTTTTCACTATTATCGTGGATAATGAGTCTCAAGCCAGTGATTTATGGCTACTGAAGGGGGAATTCATGATTTTTCGGCGAGATGCCTTTAATGCAAAGGTTGCAAACTGTGGGTAGAGTATGTGGTAGCACGAAACCTGCGAACGAGCAACCAGACGAAGCGCTTGTCTAAATTGAGAAAAGGATCCAATCTGAATGTGAACTTTATAGAGCTTACGTTGAGTACAAGAGTTTTGAAGGGACGTTACTCCCATGACAACATGTTGGTTCTTGCCATTGAATTGAAACAGGGGGCCGCGCTAGCACCCTGGAAATATCTAATCAATTGTTAGTATTGATGTCGATAATTATGGCACAAGAAGGTCACGGGGCAGACACCACTCCTGGAGAGGCTTACTTGTTGCTGAAAGTTGTATGTCGAATTCCACAAATGACAGTCACCACCTGCCTGCCTTACGGGAGCAAATCCGGTCTTGCTGAAATCCGCTGAAATATATGAAATGAGTATATAATAGATTAGCAGGAATCAAAGATCATAACCCGGGTCCGTCACGGATATGATCTAGCCGCAAAGTCAGACGGAAGAGATCGTGTACATATTCGATTTTCGGGGAGGAATGTACCGGTCTGGGGTTAACACCATAGCTTCGCATTGTTATTGGGCAACGTATTTGCACAAATGAGAGGAGGACATCGGTCCGTGGGAAAGGAAGGGACGTTGGTCTCAAAACCGGCAGGAATGAGGTTCATGACGATTCCGGGGGGTAAAAACTTAAGGAAAAGTAGCGGAATGAAGATAGGCAGAATTAGGATATTTCTGTTTTACCTGCGACCTTATTCGACCTCGACCTCCCCGGCCACCTCCTTGACGGCAGCTGTGTTCAGTGGGAAAGAAACCCAGCCGATTATTGGAGAGCTGCACGGCGGTTACAGGGGAAGTTTTTGTGGGCGAAATAAACACTTGAATCTTGTACTGCGTCTCAAACGTACGCATTGCCTCCCCACCAAGATCCAGCCACTCTGAGAACACGAGCAATTGGTTGGTTTCTATCCGGTAAACATATTGGTGTGGCAAAAGTATTCAGCACGTTTCCGCCAAGCTCAACTATTGCTATGTCGTTTTCTGAGCTGCATTCATTGAACGCGTCATGATAGTACACCTGAAAGGGCCTCGATGTGATTTGTCGCTTGAAGCCATTAGAATCAAGTGGAGGTGGTCAATGGTGCTCAGATGAAGAAAAAAACGAATGAGAAACGGCCTAGAACCCGAGAAGGGCCCCATCCTTGCCCGCTGATCTCCGCACCAATTAAACTCCCATCGGTGCTGCATTCTTCAACGCTAACGCTCTCTCAAATTACGGCTGTAGACGTGCGGCGAGTGTTAGTCACTCGATTCGCCGATAGCGCCACGGAGAGAGCCTATTGGATCGCCGCGGTATCATTTACTACGAATCGCGCGACTGTCCGTACCCTTAGATGGTCCGATTGTCTTTTCCACTAGGTAAGGTTTCCCTTCTTCGACCTTGGACCTTATCGTGGAATCTTCCTCTGAAGCTCTGATCACGATGGCTGGAGAGCAGTGTAGTTTCTATGATGGCACGAAATGTCGTTGGCGAGAGGGTTCTGAGGGGCGGCTCCATCCACATCTCCAGCGCGCTGAAAAGGGTACTCAACCAATGATGGTCAACGTCGTCACCGAAGCTCCCACCCCGCCCCTCAGCCAACGTGATCAATGCCTCTAGAAGCACGGATCGGATTGGTTGTGGGGTATTTTTGCGCTCGAAAGTGAGTGGAAAGATGCGAAATGGAACACTAGTGAAGAAAAATGGGAAGAAACCGTTGAAAAGGTCGAAAATAAGACCCGCTTCTCAAAAGCAGCGAAGGAGGCTGGCCGGGAGTAGGGGGTTGTTAGTGTGTGCCCAAACAAGTTTTCAGGACGTGCCAGCCATCGCTGGCTCCATGCCAACAGTTGATACGGTGACCAACGAGCCTTACACAGCTCATTCTACGCCCCATGCAAGTACTGTACCCCTCCCGTGGTGGGGTCATGGCCGCTGCGGCAACCAAAGCCTTAAATGAGGGAAGTATTATTATCGCCGGTTTCGCGTCATTAGCGTGGCATCATCTCCGTGCCTGCAAGCCCACCCAGACTACTGTTGGAGTGGCTTCCTTTGATCACCTCATCTCGTGCCTCTCTAAGGATTGCTACTGTATCAGAAGAAGCTACTCAACCTACATGAACTGCCCTTATCCATGGTATCGTGCATCTATTCGGATCAGGACAACGGCTACCGACAAACGCTTCAAACTCGTTGCCTTGAGGTCGGCGAGTATTCCTTAATAGAGTTTTCATAACCAAAGATCGCGCTCAGAAAAATCGTTCCGCAATCCAACAGTAACCTGTGCGCCATTAGCTGACAAGCTTCTTTACGCAGGATTTTGTCGTTTGTGTGAATCAGGCAGTGGGCGGCGGTCAGAATGTGACGCGGAGAGATTAGTACTCCACTACATATAGTCGCTGAAATGGAGAGCAGTTTTGGTTGGAACGTCACTGAATATTCTTCTTTTTTGCAAGAATGACATCAATAAATTAATCATAATTCTCCTGCTTAATGTTTGAATCACCAACCGGTGGACCAACCGGCGGAGGTGGTGGTGGATAAGCAGTGAGAAGTAGCGCCAAATAAAACTGGAGCGGTTTGGAGTAAGGTGAGGCAACGAAAAAGAATAGTAGTTTTGGTGTACTCGGGACGATCATTATGCTACGGGCCCAATACAACCAACACTTCTCGCTGGCCTTATGTTTGAATCTGTGGAAGTTGAGTGGATAGGTAGTTAAAACACAGCCAAATACTATCCACATGGAAGTCAAGAAGGAACGAAACAAAGAACAAACAGACAGCCCAGTGAGCTCGACGAGCGGTCATAATTATGCAAAGAGCCCTACAACCACCCCCTCCAAACTCTCCTTCCCTACTTCGCCGCTCTCTGGACTAAAACGCTCAAGCAGCGCCAAGGGAGAGGGGTGTTTATACAATCAATTTTCCCTCAGCTCCCTCCCTTTTCTTAAAGGAATCTTGCGCGGAAAATTCTTGCACTCTTTCCTAACATGAATATGTCAGTTGTGATCACTGGAAATAGCACACACAAAGTTTCACGCATGAAGATTCGGTTTCTGAAGAGAAACAAACGTACAAAAACTACACGTTATGGACCATCGAAGGACCAGGAGGCAGAGCCAGGCGAGGCATGGAAAGAAGACGGCGTTTGGCCGGCTACGTACCAGGCGACGCAATGAGAGAATCGGGTTAAAGCGCGCGATTTCGGAGAGTGGAGACAAATCGATCGATGGAATAGGATGGAGTAGAAGTGTAAGATGTGAATGCAACGAAGCAGAAGGCCAGAAAGAGCTTCTAGTGAATGCACTCCAAGAACCAAGTTTGAGCATCCCCGTCGCCAGCATTCGTGAAAGACGTCCGTGGGCAATTCGAACGCGTAGCAGCCTTTTCGAGTTTTCGAATTTCTAATCAAAACGAAAGCAATACTTCAGTTCTTTTCACTATTATCGTGGATAATGAGTCTCAAGCCAGTGATTTATGGCTGAAATAGAATCATGATTTTTCCGCGCAAGATTCCTTTAAGCAGACCATGCTACAATGTTCCCTAAAACTACAACAGCGCCGAACAAGAGTTAGACACCGAAATGAGATATATCGGCACCGAAGATAAAAAAAGTTCTTCAAGACAAGATAGCATGAAAATCAGCGAGAAGATGTACATGATGCGATGCTACGCGAAGGCCGCACAAAAGGCTGCCCGCGAGAAACTCGCACCTAATAATGTCGTTCGCCGCGGCATCTTCGCCACTGCATTCGCATCGTTCCCCAGAGCCCTTGCTGCTTTTGCCACGCTTATGTGCAACACTACTCGTTCACCGCACTAGTTTGCCTTCCAGGATACGGATAATAGATCTGAATGACCGGCAAAATCTCTTTTTCGTCGCCTTACGCCAAGCTTACTTATCACCAGTTTTGCCTCGCGCCCGCTACTCTGCGCGCATACCCACGGCACGGCTTTAGTAAACTGCAGACCCAATGGATCTTATCAGCCCCTGAGTCCTCCATTACCACCCTCACTTATAGAATGTCGTTAACGACCTTCTCCTCAGATTTGCGGCCTGCATCTCTGAAGTCCACGAGTGATAACGTCTGGAGCTGAACTGGCATAATTATCTCACAACTGTAAACATCCAGCATTCTTCTTGAATTCAGATAATTTAGCGGTGAATAGGATTGCTGTCAGTCTCAAATTAAAATGAACTATGCCTATTTACATAAGTGAAGAGCTAAGGCTTATCATTTATTTACATTCACCATTATTTAGAACCCCGAAAGGATTAGCGGTTTAATGAGTTTGGGCTTTCTTGATAGAAATGAAAGTTATCATTTGCTGAAGACTTGATTGAGTTTATGCAATCGACTGCTATTAAGTAAGGTGGTCATACAATGATACAGAGCACATACCACTACAATAGAATTTGTAAGTTGGGACGCTATAGCGTCAGCGCTAACGGGATCGACGGCTTTTGCGTTCTGACGCGCCTTATCAGCCTTTATCAATTGTTATCACTTCCAATCACCCATCAACAATGTTCCCGTCCCATCCCACATATCTCTTGTAAGTGTGGGTGCTCTGATGTCAACGCGAGCTGGGTAACGGAATCGACGACTTTTGCGATCTGAAGCATCTTATCAGCCCTTATCAGCTTGCTATCAATCGCTTTCGCTTCCAATCATGTACCACCAATGTTCCGGGACCACCCCACATAACACTTGTAAGTATAGACGCTCTAGCCCAAATATGAACGACAAAACGAAATTGGCGATGCTCGCTTTCTAGCCCCTCTTATCAGCTATTATCAGTCGTTATCAGTTCCTATCACGTACCACTTGTGTCCCCATCCCACCCCCTATAACATATGTAAGAACCATGGCGCTATCATTGCTGTGACTCGAGCTATGAATTTCCGGTCAAACACACACACACACACGGACACACCAACAGACACACGCTAGCCGCTTATATATAGTAGGATTCATTTCAAACAAAGCGTTATACCCCTTACCAGCACCAACTCTAACCGTATAGAATCAGAACGGTCAGCAAATGAGCTCTAGGGCCGTATGCTATGCTTTCGGGGAAGGGGATGCGTCCCCTAAGTCGTATGCTATCCGTCCCCGAAGCTCATTCGGGGAGAGGCCACGCCCACCGAGCTTCGGGGACGCGTCCCCCTACCATTATCGTTGGGGGAAGCATCCCCGAAGGCTAGAGTAGTCGCCGCGGCGCGCACTATTTTCGCTGGAGCACATTATTTTCTTATGGGAATTACATATTATCCTGAAGCTGCGCTTCATTGAAGCGTAAAGAGGATTATGCTGCAAAGCATCGGTGGCGTCGTTGGTGTCTGCGCAAGATGCAATGGATCATATGTCCATGGCTGTGATAACAGCTGCTAATACTGGTTCAGCGCTATGGATAGAGGGAAAATTCTGTAAAAATCAAGAACCATGTTCCACTCCAACAAACTAGGATCCTGCGCTGAAAAAAAGGTGCATGCGTCTTGTGCAATATACAAATTCATGCGCACCTGTTCACTACGCATCATGTTTAGATAGGATAGAGATTGCATTTATTTACTGATTTTGTAAGTAGAGTACTGTGTTGTTGGAATATCTGCTGTCAATTGAGTATTACAGTTATACAGCTCCTCTTCTGATCCTTACGTTCATGGGCGTACTAGAAATTAGGGTCACAAAGCGAGCGGTAGGGAAATTGATAAAATTGCAGTTCATAATCGGGAAAAACACGTTCTTGGTATTATCAAACGATAGAATAAAGCACTGAAATGGATTTAAAGAAGAAATAACCTTTCAGAAAAAAAACGATCAGTCATATTGTGAGTAGAACATAGTATAAAGAAGGGTCGGCGCAGTGCACCTAAAGTATTCGGAACCATGACAATATTCTCATTTCCGTGCTCATTCATTTCCCCGCTTGCACAAGTACCCACCCTCGAGCTCCCTCCGTCTGTAGAAATGTGATTACTGCGGTAGGGGAGAACTGTTGTACCACGATACCTCTCCACAAAATTTGTATTCATAAATAATATGGATTTATCCTCACATAGTATCCCTTATTGTGTCTCGATCGAATAATAAAACTGAACGCAGCTAACAGGTATTCACTTGTTAAACGCAATTGTATGCGTGGCTTTAAGGTCATTCGAATTTCGCGCTCTATAAGCTCTGCGTCTTCTCTCCCCGAATGAATTTCGGGAGCATAGCATACGCCCTGCTTCGGGGACGTCTGCTTCGGGGATTTTCCCCGAAGCAGAACTCTTCCCCTTCCCCGAAAGCATAGCATACGGCCCTATGTCGAACTTGACGTACAAATGTCTCACTTCCAATCCTTAATGAGGCAATCCAAGGGTATTCATCCTGTCGAAATGCTTGCCCGCCAAACGACTTGAACGTGGGACGATTTTCTGAAAGGAATTATAGGAGAGATTATTGGCAGGTAAGGTTCGGGCCAACAAGGCCCGTGTTAGAAAATACTATTTTGCTAGAGCATAATACATCCTCATGGAAAATTCCACCGCAACTCTTTCTGTATTCAAATGAGTATCGATTTTACGCGTGTGCTTACGTTTCTTTCCACTGTGACGCTGTCAGATCCAAAATGTTTAAGAAAAACATAGCGTTGCACAAGGCTAGGGGTGAGTGATCCTACTCAGAGCTCCACAGTTCCGTGGACTACGCAAAGACTATTCAAATACTTGTGGAACCATTGCTCACCAGAAATGAAGCCCGCACACGTAACTGATGAGCTGCGGCAGTTCTTCGCTGTGGAGTTATCCTAGCAGAGTATGCAAACGGAAGAACAATCAGCCAGTAGCAGAAAGCCATCTGGAAGTTCTACAGTACGCCACTACAGTAACTAAATTTTAGGGTAAATTCCTGGAACGCAAAACATCAAATCAAAAAATCAATCAAAAAAAAAATTCAAAACATCCTCTACTATACGGAGGCTGCAACGGCACGTATTTGAGAACGCCTTGAACAACACTTGTGTTCTGAAATAACTAGGACTACTCAGGAAGGCCAGCGCCCCAGTAGTCTCATTTTCTTGAATTTCCTACCTCCCTCCCCTGCTGAGTTAGTAAGGTAGCGTCAAACTGGCGAATCGTTGTACGCGAATGGCTCGATTCGCAAGTCTGACACTGGCCGAATACAGGGTGCCCTCTTAGCTCGGATAGCGCTCTGTGAAGTGCAAGGCTTCCCAAGAAAAACAGGAAACGTCCACCGGGCGCCACATATGCTGTATGCCTGCATCTCGTGAAAGGCGTTCTTATCACCTTGAATCCTCTGCGAATTTTCACCCACTGCTCGATACTTCCAAGAGCCACAGGATCACTTCTGACTCCCCAAGCTTCGAAGTCGATGAAGGCGCTGGTGTATGGGTGGGGCATCATTATGTAGCACGCCCACACATGCCAATTTATCTTCCTACCATAGTAACCCTTTGAACTGAGCTTTATGGGGAGGGGAGGGAGGGTGTTTTTTTTGCATGTTCCATATTGCCCGGAGTACCTCCCCTCTTCCTGAGCTCTTACGTCCGAATCGATCACGCATCGCATCCGACCCCAGCGAACCCAGCAGCATCAGTGGTGAATCATAAGCCAGGATGAATTCGACAGTTCTTACTATTGAGCGTTATGGTTGAGGTTTTTCACCCAAACAGTTTATTGGCGCTTCTGACCTTATCTACAAGTAAATGGTGTCGCGTCGCTTTTGTTTTCTGAAAACATAATAACTATCGGTATGGTACCTACACTACAGCTGTGATCTTTGCGGCGCGACATCTCACATCCAGACAGCACTGCGTGTTTTCAAATGGAATGATAACCACTATAGTTAAAACGGCAAAAGTTTTATTCATATCATATAACTTCTGGCGTGATTAGTGGAAAATCCAGATTCATGAATTTCTGGATAAATGCAACATCAGTTACTCAAACAAATCCTTCCGAAAAGTTGTGTGCACACATACGACATCTATCATCACATGCGACCTACACCTTTTCTGCTGGGGAAGAGGCATTAATTAGACCACAACAATATCACCTTGCTATTAAATACCAACTAAGTTCTCGACTGTGTCATGTGAACAATTATAAAATGCTTGGCCTCGTCCATGAGCCGTTCTTGAGTAAAACGCTGGCCAAAGATTTCACTCCGTCTCTATTAGGAGCTATATAATGTACATCATGATCCCAGGCGGCCGTCCGCCGCTAATAAGGCCGAGTTAGCGGACGGTCCGTCTGCGTATTAAGAGGAAATAGCGTGAAGTTGAAATAGGAGGAACCAAAACATAAATTTTGCGCACCCCGTCCTTAACATGGGTCTAATCTATCAAACGAAAAAGTGTGGTCACGCGACCAACTGTCCCCGACTTGCCCTTCTTGCCGCGCGAGGAGCTCTGGAGACCATCACAGTGCATTGGTTCCGTTTCCTTCTAAAAAGACGCGCGCTTGCTTCACTTCAAAAGGATTGGATCATTCGGACGAATGTAAGGATGCATTTTGCGAATGAAACAAATAGATCAATGATTTTGAGCCGGAAGGGTGCATACGCAAGGCCCGGATGTGATTTTAGTTCTGATAGAGTCGCGAAACTTCCCGATCACATTTGATGAAAGTCCATAAAGGTTTTTTTCGAATCTTTATCAGCAGATATTTACAAATATTTTTGGCTATGCAAATATTCTTTACCTACTCGTAGTGAAGCAAAGTGATAATTATTGTAGAAGCACTCAATTGAAAGTTCTCAAATGTTCGTCTTCATCTCGTAGCCCGACTGGAAGCAGTAAGAAGAATGTAATTGTGAACAAAGTGCCAGGGAAATAGTAACCAGCAGTAGTCTGTCGACGAAACCAGACTCCAACGTTTCCACTGCCAAACTGGATTCGCTGACGCTTCGTCGATTTATCTGGATAATTTGCCATTATACATAGGCCATCGGCTATATTTCCTGCTGCCTTTCGTCCTCGGGTAGCGACGATTTTTGGTTTGATTTTCCCGAGTACTTATATTGTAGTATGGTGTTTGTCACGAGTGTTTTGTGGTAGCACGGAAGTGGAGTGGTGGCAAGTGGCAGCTGGTTATCACGCAGCACGTTTCATCCCGAATGCAATTGTCGCGCTCCAGGCCAAGCAGGCTTTTCTTCCCTCCCGGTCTGTTGCTGGGTACCCACTCCTTACGAGAGAAAAAAAAAAAACATTTTCAAAAACAAAAAAATAGAGAAAAAAAAGTGGTTGGTCGGTTGGGTATGCAAACAAACGTGTATCACTCAGCTATGACTCTCGACATAATGCCAAGTGTAATTCATAAATGTTACCTAACCATAACTCAAGATGAAGGGGTAGTAATGCATGCATCCCACAGACACGGCTCAGAGATATAAGATGGCTTTCATGTGCGAAGGTCTTCCCTTTATTTGCTGCCTAGCCCTGTCTGTACCGCTCGCTAGTTCAAAACAAGGAGGTGGGACTTTGAAAGGTAGCGTGCTTCCTGTGTCGGTCTTGCATCGAGGCACCCCAGTAAGCCCGGGGTGAAAATGGAAACGTTTTGGGGATTCCTGAACATATCCAGCTACCTTATTCACAGGTGGCATTGTTAAGTGATTTTATGAAGCTGCCTTCAAGGCTATTGAAATTGTGTACTTCACATAGTTTAAAGCGCTTTCTGATTCGAATTGCTTGTACGAATGAGCTCCACCATTGGCACCATTACTGCTTATGTGTGACATCATTTCCATGTTGCTCACATGCTAAACTGATTGACTGATTTATATAGATCATCTCAATCCTTTTAAGACGAAATGAATGTAGTGACAATTGGCGCCGCTTACAAGTGCTAGATTCGGGGTCAAATTCGCGGATGGAATTCTGCGCAGTCTAATCCAAAATGACTACGATTCTGAATGAAAGTAGATTGCGTCCCAAAACGGGATCGGACATTTCCGAATGATTTACTGGTTATCATTTTATCATATATCACATTTTATTTCGCATTGCTTTCAGCTCAATTCATTCCCTTTTGGGGATGTTTTCTTTGCAGTGTCCCTTATTTACCTGGACTGTAGTATGGGCGGGCGCAAACCTGTAATAGAGGCAAGAGGGCTGGGTAACTCTACTTTTGCTCCCATTTTCAGCGTCCGAGGATGGCTGGTATGTGGAGACAAATGCAAGACAAGTGGGAAAGTAGCATAAAACCTATGTGTTTCTACAAATTCTACATCGAATCACTGCGTTCTTCTAAGCCTTCCACCCTCCCAAGGTTGGCAAGTGGTTCGGACGCGTTCTGAGAAAACAAAAGCGTTGACATCCACTCTGGGCTGTCCGAGTTGTATGGGTTTAGTCGCAGTTTTGATGCCATCATGCTTGCCCAAAAAATAGGACGCGTGACGCAGACAGAAAAGGGTTTATCAAGGCGGGAAGCATCGTATTTTGTTGGTCAAAGTAGATCTAAAAGCATCAGAATATGAGCTGAAGTCTCACATCGGCAACAGCTACCGTGCAGCAGGTACGCGGCTTGCAATCCCCTCAGGTAAGATACACCGTTCCTAATACCAGGCTTGTTGGTAAGTAACCTTAGCATCAGTATCAAACTATTATAATGGTATTGACATCAGTGCTGAATACCACCTAAGTTTGCACGAGGGGCTGAATAAAGAATAAAAAATAGAGCTCTTAGCCTCGCTTTTTGCAGATACGCCACGGCAACCTTACATTGATTCAGGACGCGACGGATGTTTGGAGCAACGTGATTTGGCCTGACATTGAATCGAGGTGGCGCTGTTTGTACAGTTTCTATTTCTATCTCTGACTGCTTGTTTCGACATAATTAAGTGGTTCGAAAAGGGGTTGAAGACGCGGTTGGCTTGAACTGGATTCCGAAGTGCCTGTGCTGAGTGGCGCCACTTTCACTGCATCAATTCCGCCACCTACAGATCGAATACAAATTAGATCCTAATGGGAAGGTCGACTCAGTAAACGCGTAATCGTCCATAAGAGTAATTATTTTTTACAGGATGCAAAGCCAAAAAACCTAAGATTTTCCTTTTTCAGGATCACGTACATTGTCCTGAGTGAGGCAGGCGCATTCGACGAATTCCTGGAACCCTCCTCTTCTGTGATCGTGATTTTTGATCCGCTTCAAATCCCGCAAAATTGAACTCCGCCTTATCGTCGACTTCTTGCTCTGCAATCATTCATTTTCTCATAGGTGGTCAAATATCATTGAGAAATAGCTGCAAAACAGGAAAGAGGTCAAAAATTTGTGAACGTGTAAAAGTGGATATAACGATAGACGATGTAAAAAGTACGTATCCGCCGTTTGGGTGCGAAAACTCGTACAAATCCTGCAGTTATGCGGTCAAATGTTCCATCCGGCAGATTAGGATATAGCGATCAAAAAAAAAAGGCCGAGACAGCATACCTGCGCTATTTTTAATAGCGACACGCTATCCGGTTCACGAATAGACATCCGCATCAGTGAAGCCAAATAGCCGAGAACCCATTTTTCCATCCAACATGGCACATGCCTGCAATACATGTGACCTAGTAAATTTGCCAGAAAATTGCGAACTTTTTATGGAACCAATCGCTTTCAACCACCTAATTTGGTTATACATTTAGGCCGATGTCAGACTTTGCGAATCGCGCGATTCGCTAGCGTCTGCGGTCGCGTCGCGGCCAGTGAATCACTCAATTGGCTGGTACCGCAACGCGACCGCGGACGCTAGCGAATCGCGCGATTCGCAAAGTCTGACATCGGCCTTAAAGATGTCGGGGCGCAAATCGACAAATTATTTGACCAATTACTGATTAGTGTATCTCGCTCACGACTGAGCCAGTAAACGGAAATCAAGTGGGAGGGCATAAACCAGAAAGCAAGAATGCCGCCATTGATTCATGTGTTCTGATCACAGTACTGTAAGCACTCGTTACCTAGACATTTGTTAAAACCTTCACCGTCCGGCAATCACCGGACCTTAAAAGACACGGGTCAGGCTAAAGTCGAGTAGTTAATATGTTCAAAAATAGGATAGGAATTACATGGCTAACACTAGTAGTGTGGAAAAAATCAAAAAGCGTCATAGAACACAATGAAAATTTTCCTAGAGATCGGCCGTGGTTTTGTGTGCGTAGAGAAACAGCGCTGCGAGAAGAGAGAGAAATGAAAGAATGCTTGGAATCTGTCCACTTTGCCCCCCTAAACTGCCGTCGAGCCTTACCTGAAGATTCCATTCCGTGCAAATCGTCCTACAAGCCAATCCTCATTCCAGCAGCCATAACCCCATCTGATTTCACGAAAACGGTCTCCTTTGGAAAACCCAACCCGGTGGGAAGCAGTGCAAGGCACAGTTGACCCTGCTGGGAAACCGAACAAAATTGAAGGACCCGCTAGAAATATACTTACCTTCCCTGATTAGCAGCTCCATTTCGATGCATATTGAGTGTGATGACATTCACACATGTGGCTAGACATACCATAAACAAGGACGACACGTAGTACATCCCTGCAGAACAAAATAGTATGAAAAATATCCCGTCCCACATAGCTAATCTCGCTCACCAATTAGTGGCACGGCTTCTGATGTGGGTGGAATCGACTTCCGTAATCGATTGCAGGTAGACACCCATACTGAGAAGGGTTGTGATTATCATGTTGATTTTTTCACCAGTTTCCGGTGGCATCAAAAACCCGAGCACGGCCATTGATGAGATCAGAACACATGGAATAATCTGAAAATTTGCTTTAGATCAGATGGGCTACTTGTCCGGAGCAAATAAATAAACAACAAAAAAGAGAATAAATCAACAACAGTCATGAGTCAATAAAGGAAGGAAGAAGTCTTGTTGTTTTTGTTGGTTACTGCGTGTTTTTTGCCGCAGTTCGCCTTGCAAATATTTCCCAAGAATGCTTGGTGCTGTGAACAATTTCATTTTGATTGTGGTCCTGGCCTGTCTTGACTATTCTGGCGCTGTTCGGCGAATCCTAAAATAATGGATTCATTCTCCTCCCTGACCGGGCAAGCCAAATTTTACAAAAGAGGGGGGAGGGTCTTCCAGGGCATGAAGCGCTTTTATAAAATGGTTTCCTGCATGTTATACGAAGTTATTACGAGGAACAAGAAGAGCTGTAACCTCCGCCCACCAAACCAGCATTGCATTTGATGGAGGGAATACTACCATTTAAAATGCTCATCGGTTTTTCACAGTTTTCTTAAAAGACAGTAAAGTCTTTGAAGGGATGCCCGCAACCGTCGCCAAAAAGGTGGTCCTAGCTAAATCAGTCAAGACGGGGCTGCACCAGTCTTGTGCTGAAATGGTAGGACACCTTAGCAGTGACTGATCGATGGTGCACAAACGCTCTAACGAAGTTGATTGACACAAGAAATTCTAATAAATGTGCTCATCTGCTACTCACGTGTGCTCAAAAAGGGTGCGTTTTTGACCCCATGTGGCAAAAAAGACTCCGGGAAAAATTGTCCAGTTGAGCTGGTAAGTAATAAATTTTCCACCATACAGTGCAGACCCTACTCTAACTAAATGTATACTTCTTTTGTCCAGGCCTAACTTTTAGCAAGTGAGAGGGATGATTTGTCAGATGATGTCAAATTCGACCTACCTCTCTTTTTCGTCTCAAAAATTCCTAACTTTAATCGTACGAGGTTTTCACTCATACTGGTAAATGGGAAAGGGCTAATGAGTCATTCGATGGATATGCCGTTTCACTCACTGGATTTTGAATTAAAATATTGGTGGTCCGAAACTCGCGGTGAAAAAACGACACTAAGATATCCGGTACCTAATACTTATCCTACAATCTCAACGATCCTTTCTTGAAGTAGCACCGATGCGATTGCAGTGGACGAAGATGCCCCGCAAACGATCATTATTTAGGTGCGCGAACTGCTTCTTCCGTCCACGGCTTTTGGTGGCGTTTCCGCCCTTCGCGTAGCTCGGGCAATCTTACATTGTCTTGCTGATTTTCATGCTATCGCGTCTTCAAGAATTTCTTTTTCTTCTCAAGCCTATTACATCCCATCTCGCTGACTGACCCTTTTTCGCTGGTGTAGTCAGGAGGATAATGCTAAGCCTGGAAGGATGGGATAAACTTCGGGGAAAACGAGAACTGCTAGCACATCCCCTCCCTTCCCCTCGAGAACCAGTCAAATGGGGAGTAGTGATGTGAGGGTGTTGGTTGTATGGGCCCGTAGCTACAATCGTCGGCCGAGAACACGCCAGAACTACTATTCTATTCGTTGCCTCCACCTTACTCCAAACCGCTGCGGTTTTATTTGACGCTCCTTCTCACTGCTTATCCACCACCACCTCCGCCAGTTGGTCCACCGGTTGGTGATTCAAACATTAGGGAAGAAAATTGTGATTATTTATTGATGACATTCTTGCAAAGCAAGAACAATATTCAGTGACGTTCCAACCAAAACTGCTCTCCAATTCAGCGACTATATGTAGTGGAGTGCTAATCTCTCCGCGTCACATTCTGACCGCCGCCCACTGCCTGATTCACACAAACGACAAAATCCTGCGTAAAGAAGCTTGTCAGCTAATGGCGCACAGGTTACTGTTGGATTGCGGAAAAATTTTTCTGAGCGCGATCTTACTCTATTAAGGAATACTCGCCGACCTCAAGGCAACGAGTTTGCAGCGTTTGTCGGTAAGCCGTTGTCCTGATCCGAAATAGATGCACGATACCATGGATAAGGGCAGTTCATGTAGGTTGAGTAGCTTCTTCTGATATCAGTAGTGACCCCTAGAGGCACGGGTCGGGGTGAGATGGACAAAGGAAGCTCCCTCCCCATCAATACTGGATAAGTTTGCAAGCACAGAGATGAAGCCATGCTTGTGACTCGACTTACACGGTAGCAACGCCCCGACCTTGTCCATGAGGCTATGGAAGCCCGGCGCAGCTATGGCCGACCACAGCGGGTGGTGCGCAGCTGACATCAGGCGCGAAACCAGTTGGGTAGGGTAGGTTGATAGCAATGCCAACCGCTGGCAAACGCCACAGTGTGGGCATTTCCTAGAACCTCGTTGCGCTTTTCGCGTTTGGGAAGTCCTACATTCGACTTCCTGCGACGACTTCTTCTTGCTTTTCTTCGCACGGGTGTTCCATTCGCATCTCTGCACTCTATTCCAAAAAGTGCAAATGCTCAAACTCTATTCCTACCGTTACCTCTAGAGGCAGCCGTCACGATTTCTGGAGGCGGTGCAGTTTCGATGACGTCGTTGACCGTGTTTGGTTGGGTAGACCCACTGGATGTGGTTGGAAGCCCTTTGAAATGCTTACCGCCAACAACGTTTAGTGGCCCATCATCGAGAAACTAGGCCGAAAACTAAGCGCGATAACGAGTCGAAAGCCCTCGACCCATCGGATCTGAGCTCCCGAAGGAAAGATTACAATGATATAAAGTCGAAAGACGAAGAGAAGAGTAAATCACTTAGTGACAGACAGGCGAACTCCGACAGCGCGGACCAACGCGCAACGAGCGCGATTTGCAGTTTAGCTATGGTGCGGCTCCAGCATGGCGCCTCCCGGCGCAACAATCGTCGCGAGTACGCCAATTAATTGACTAACCACCCGCAAGTCTCTAGCCGTTCAGAGAGAGAGAGAGAGAGAGAGAGAGAGAGAGAGAGAGAGAGAGAGAGAGAGAGAGAGAGAGACAAGAGAGTAGAGATGGGATCTAGTCGTGCGGATCATTGGGCAGAACGAGGCTGAAGTTTTCGGTCCTTTCTCATAGCTTTCTCTTCATCAGTGACATTTTACCAACTTCTACTTTGATTGAGCTGCCTTTTATTAGAAAACTCCGCATTCAAGCGACAGATCATATAGGGGCAATTTCAGGTGTACTATCATGACGCGTTCAATGAATGCAGCTCAGAAAACGACATAGCGAATAGTTGAGCTTGGCGGAAACGTCCTGAACACCTTTGCGACACCGAATATGTCTGCCGGATAGAAACCAACCAATTGCTCGTGTTCTTAGAGTGGCTGGATCTGGTTGGAGAGGCATGCGTACGTATTAACACAGTAAATGATTTTTAGGGTTTTATTTTCGACACAAATTTCGCCTTTATTCCCCCAGTTCTCCAATATCGGGCTGGGTTTCCTTTCCTCGCTATTAAGTTTTGCTACGAAATCATTTATACGGTGATTCAACTCGTAGAACGCGGCTATCGCATACATTTGGCGCAGAAAAGCTTAATGCTGGTGCTGCAAGTCGCCAAGTCTTTCTCATACACCAAGGTTGCTGGAACTATGCAAAAATGATAGTTAGACCCAGGACACTTACCGGGCAATCGCGGTGTCAGGCGAAAAATCCAAAGTTCCAGATCACTCCCTTAGGTCTTGATATAACCCTTGTCAACAGCATTGAGGGGTCGGCCTTATGACCTTACTTGGAGGGAGAGGGAGGAAAAGAGGCGGGTAATAACGAAACATTCTAATTCTGCGTCTAACACTTCCTTCCCTAGTTTTGTCTCGGATCGTCAAGATACCCTTCCTGCCCGTTCTTCGGAAACGGCCCCTCTCCTCCAAGACCACCACGCCCCTCCCCCGAATTTGCGAAATACGACCCCATTCAATTTAGTTAAACTTTTGTCAACCCCAAGCGCGAATCCCAAACACGAACTTCTTCCCTAAAATCCTAAATACAACCCTCGTCTGGTTCAGCTGGACGAAACGTTGACCTGGGTACGATTTTTGCCTTTCTTATAAGATTTCAATGTTTCAGCGGATGCAGCAAGACCTGATTTGGCGCCCGTAGGGCAGCAGGTAGTGACTGTCAATTTTGTGGAATTCGACAACAACTTCATCAAAGTAAAGCCTCTTCCAGGAGTGGGTGTCTGCCCCGTAAGTTCTTGTTGCCATATTATCGACAGTACCAATTACTACAACAGTCTATAAGATTATTTTCAGGGTGATAGCGGAGGCCCCCTGTTTCAATTCAATGGAAAGAACCAACATGTTGTCATGGGAGTAACGTCCCTTCAAAACTCTTGTACTCAACGTAAGCTCTACAATGTCGTAATGTCCACATTCAAGGAAATCCCTGGTGGGAGTAGTGTCGAGAGTGAATGCACGCGCGGAGAGCACAGACGGCTCGCGCGTGGCGAGAGTGAACGTTCGCGCGGGAGAGCGTGACTGAACAGGCAAAAATCCTCGACGAATCGTCGATGAATACTCGACCGATTTTTACCCAGCTGTCTGATCGCTTCGATCCCAGTACTTCGTGTTAGCAATACTGCTCAGACTTAAGTTTTCAACCTTCAGCGCCAGTTAACCATATGTTTCACCTACTTATGCGTTGATGTGGAGATAGGCTAAGTTTACAGGACGTATTATACTTTTCAGGCGGGCCTAAGTCTATATTCCATTTACACAAATTTTTCCACACTGTCCCGTATGTGCTCAATAATGAACGCAATTCCAAAATCCCCTTCTTCATTCTCAGCACTAAAGAGGCAGAGCACGACAGAGTGTCCCCCCCTACAGCTCTGTACTTGCCGCTAATGTGCCACAGTGCATCTTACAAGGGAGGTCGTTCAGGTGTGCCAAGCTTTTTCAAAATGGTTTCTTGCATGACATTGGGGCACATATGGGGACCACAGAACCATGGTTCATTTTTCCTGAGGTCCCTAGTTCGATTCCTCGTGGTGACAAATTTTTGCATTTCGAGTTGACGTTTCCA